GAGACTGTGGTAAGACCTAGGGAAGGAGGACCGCGTAACAATATGGCCGACTCTGATCAACATTCCCAGCACAAGGATGAAGGGGGGTGAGAAGGCCAGCGTAAAGTGCAAGTAAAAAATTGTTACGGTGACCGCGTGATAGAAGGATATAGGAAATGTTAATAGGCCAGGGCAGAAGGGGAGATACCATAACAGTTTAGCACATGTTTGGTGAAAGGATCGGCTTTACTTATCTCTTTGACGAGATGTAATATAGTGCTACGAATGGTTAAACTCACTGGCGATGCCGACTACTATGCCGGCGAAACTTCTGGGAATGTACCACGTTCTTGTTCCTACTTTGGAAATGATTATGCATACAATGGACTCAGGACAAGGTGTATTCCTCTAAGTCTTCCTACCAATATCACCAAGTTGCGAAAACAAGGTCAAACAACTTCTTTAACAGAATATAACCCATTCGGTTTCATTAAGTATTTATCTCTCACTCTACTGTACCTCAAGCCTTACTGGATCATGCGATGTTGTCTCTTCCTCAGCTCGAAGTCCGATCTTTTCCCATGTTCTGGCGACACTGCATGGGCTGCCTTGCATCCGGGCGGCCCGGACGAGGGACTCCAGCCGATGGCTGATCGGACTATACCGAGTAATGGATGTGCACACGCCCATACAAGTGCTGATTACTGCGGGTCAGCGTTGGCTCACCATCAGGCTGGATATCATCTGTCTGGCCTACACGCTTTGCATCGCTATGGTCTGCATTTTTCACGACTTTCACCGAGGTAGGCAGTTGAATAGTTCACACCTATAGAAGCCAACATGTATACCAGTTTAGTTATATGCAGTGGAGGGAGATACCATGCCTTATTAGAGTTTTTCGCAGTTATTCCTTGCGGCTAACCCTGTCTAACTTCCTTATTTCGGGCCAAAATGTAGGCATACTTTTGTATTAGCCTATTGATTAGGAACTTACAAATTCTGTATTATTTTTAAAATAATTCCAAGGTAGGGCGCTTAGTAACAAATAAATTATTAATCGGCTATAAAGTAGATTTGTTTGAATGAGGGAATGTTAGCAACCATTTGCTAGCGGTTTAGTAGGGTTAGTCTGTTTGTGTTTGAGATCCTTCGAGTCTATTTATATTTTTTGGCAGAAGTCTGACCAACTCTTTCATTCTTTGATACAAACGTGCGTACTTTGTTTTGGCTTTGCCAAATAACAGATAGATAACTCATTATGGCCCGGCGTATATAAATATTAAAAATAAATAAATAAACGTATTTAATATTTGTGTTATTTAGTAAATAGTATAAAATTAAGTAAATTAAATAAAAGGTAATTAAATTAAATGAGGCAAATAGGGATAAATCAATATGGGCCAGCTTAGCTTTTGAACAAATTAGTACCACTGATATGAGATGTATTCACCCTGTTTCGTTTAAGGTGATAATTAACTGATAATAGAATTTTCCTAAGCCTACATATAGAGGAAATATAAGTAATGTAGTCGATTGCTATAGCAAATATAACCTTGCTTCATTGACAATCCCACCACAGAATATGATATGGGAAGATGCCTGCCTTCCTTGAATTTCACATCTGCCCTATGACTCAAGGGCATTCGCCGCAGTGTGGCGTAGTGGTTAGTCTGTCGAGAGTATACGCTGCACTGTCATGGTTCAAGTTCCGCTGTGGGTGTTGATAAGACTAAGGCGAGATCGCACCTGCAGGGCACTTCTGCCTGAATGAGAATACCTGTTGGGAGGCCATTCATCGCCTTAAACGATATATGACTATATCTCATATAGGTGATTTACTAGTAG